AAAGCCCTACCACCAAATTAGCAGAGGCACTCCCTCGAAGGTGATGTTGACCAGGTCGCTGGAGCTTTCTGGGCTGACAATGAGCTCCTCTTCAAAAGATGGGTCAGGTCTTGGGGCTTAGGGCTTTAGGGCTGTTGTTTGTTTTAGGGCTTTCGGGTTTGGGGCTTTGGGGTTCCACTGACTGGGGGAGTGTATGGGCTTTAAAGACAGGGCTTAGGATCTAGGGCCACTTGACGGGATGGTGTTCTGACGAGTTCGGGCTGACCGCTTGAAACTGGTGTTGTTTGGGGCAGTAGAATGAAGCGCTGGACTGCAAGAACCACCGGCACGACAGCATGGCCCGGAACTACAAGAATCAGCATCATCACAACCATATTCCGACTGCATACTACAAGCACCCTCGTCTTGGATATCGTTTCTTCGCGATGCACTGGCTGCCATCTGAGCGCGCTGCTGCGATGGTCAGAGACTCCCCTAGCCTGATCCGCAGGAGGCTTCTCTAGCAATCGGAGCGCCAGCGCCCACCATAGGCGATCCGATATGCCGGAGGGATGAAGCTGAAAGAACTTCCCACGGTGTCCTATTGGGGCTGGGATTCTGGCCCCTGTTCCCGGAGGCTTCTGAATTTATCCTCAGAGGCCCGAGCGAAGACACACGCAAGAAGACGCGATCGCCGGGAAGCCAGAGCTCATCCTGCATCCCAGAGGGTTTCGAAAGGAGCTACGCTTCTTTGCCCGTAAGCTCCTGGATCGACGGAGTTTTGTAGAGGGGTGTTGGGTTGGGGCCACTCTGAATCGGCTGAATGGTCCGCACAAGCTTGGGTGACCTCGGCAGAAGAGCATACCCCGAGAAGGCCTGCTGAGAGTATGCCTTGTCGGTGCCCTGCAGAACGCAGCAGCTGTCCTCTTCGCAGATGTGCTGAGGCTGAGGGATGTTGAGGGCTTGCGGCTTGAAAGCAACCCTGTGGCCGTTTCATCTCCGACACTGCTGTCTTTGCTGGATTACTCAGGTCGACTATGCCTTCGTATGTACGCAGAAACGAGAACTGCGTCACTTTTGTAGTGGACTCAGTGCCACAAGCTGGACAGCAAAGTGATCTGATCGCAATGTGTGTGCAGGACGCTTTCGGGTTCTGTGGCTTCGGCTAGAACGGCTATAAGAAAGCTCCTACACAAATTTGTAAATACGGTTTACCGTACGCCGAAGCCCTGTTCTAATCATGAAGCCTATCAGCTCTCGGTTGCCGGAGGATCGATGCCAAACCTCCCCTGTTAGCCTGCAGCGCATCGGTGGACGACGAGGTCCAGCCTTCACTAGGTGCCGCAGACACATGGACTCAGGGTGCAGCATATTAGGATTGAGGGTTTAGGGTTTAGGGTTTAGGGTTCATGGATACATAATCTAATTGTATATTATACTATTTTGTAGCTTGCCACGCAGGCTAGCTGCTAGCCCGGGCCTTCAGGAGCAATGTACACCTGTGCCTGCTGTGGGTCCGGAAGGCAGTCACATGTGCAAGGTCTGAATCAGCCCAACAAAAAATCCTTCATGCACTCAGCTTTTTCCTGTAGCAGAGGACACAAGTCAGCCCTCTTCCACCGAGAGGTCGGAAAACCCCTGCAATTCTCCACACGTTGAGAGTTTAGAAGCTACAGTAGTCACGTCCCGGTGTTGACAGCCACTGAGGCCGCAGCTGCAGCTGTTCGAGACACACTTCAAGAATCCAGCCTGCAGGAGTCTTGAAAGCGACGTTGCGCTCCAGGCTCCAGGATTACCATAGAGGTCGACAGAATTAGGCGAAGGTATCGAAGGCTTTCTGCGATCTACGTATTCGGACACTCTCTGGAATGATGTCCCTGACCCTGGAGGAGCAAGCACCAAGAAATCGCTGAGGCTTGGGCGCAGTGGCTGTCCCGGCTGCATGTGCCTGCACGAACATAGGCAGCTCATCAATGGTCGCGTGTAGCTTTGAGGCGAGGAGGGCAGGCATCGCTGCAAAATCTTGATTTTTGCCGTCCGCAAGCCTTCGTTGACGCCGCAAGGGGTGCCATCAGAGCAGCAGCCACCTCGATAACACCCCAGCACATGGAACCCGTAGCCTGTCATGCACTCGGATCCTTCGATGTTGACATAAGAATCCCAGATCAACCCGAAGCCAAGATTCAAAGTCAGCTTTTTCTTCCAGGCTTCAGGAGACCTCACGAGCCCGATTGGGCCCCCAGGGTCTGAAAGCCTCAGGGTTCCGCGAGCTTCAGGACCCCGATAATGATCCGAGAATGCGATGCGCACAGATTGTGCGCTTTCAGTAGAGTCTCGGGCTCGAGGCGTTCGGGGTTGCGAGTTGCACAATCTCTTCCTTACTAGTTACTAGGGCCAAACATGATGGCACTCTGGGTGGCGCGCTGTTGCCGTTCTCGAGGTCGGCGGCGTCGGAGCCACAGCCGACCGCTGTGCCCTGGCACGAGCATAACGACGACGATCATGAGTGGACGTCCACGTGGCCAAATTTTTCTAGTTGCAAAACGACGCTAAATTGGCGAAAGCATAACAACGATGGGGATCCAGCGTGATGTCTGCCGAATTTCTGCAAAAATCCCAACCCTGCATATCTCTCAGACAGCAATGCTGCAAAGGTCGCAATGCCGGTTCTGAGTCCAGATCACTCGCAAGGTTCGTCTCGATGAGAAAATCGCCAGCAGAATAAATCCAGGTGCGGTGCAGGCAGGACCCATGTTCGCCTCTCTCGCACCCTCGCGTAATCTGTTTTTGATTTGCATAGTACGAGCATACGCCCCCAACATCGTCTGTCGCATATTATATATACACACATCTACATCTACATGTATGCATGTATGCGAAATATTCACGAAGACATCCGGTCGAGAGCGTGCCTGGAGACCATCCCGGGACGTGGCAGGCCTGGAGAACCCCAAGGGAGCTTCTTCGAACTATGGCCGCTTGCTTGTAGGTCTTATTGATGAGCATCCGTTTGGGGCACTTAGTTTGTGATGGCGCGGTTCAACGGGCGCTTGGAGACCAAGAACTTGGAGCTCTAGGTTCGCGCGATGCTCCGGAAGGCTGCCTGTCGTCACCATCATCATCACCACCATTGCCATGGCCATCCTCATTGCCATCCTCATGGCCACCAGAACCAAGGTCCGGGGCTCGGGCAAAGTGTACATCAGCTCGATGTTCGGCGTGTGGCTGTTTCGGAAGGTGAAGGCGGCGCTCTTCCTGCTTCGCTAAAGGCATTGCATTCTTCACGGCACCTCTGAATTCGCTGCTGTCCCTCATAGTGCTCTAGAGCGATGTCTGCTGCCACTCACGTCCACCCTCTCATGGCCTTCCTCACACGATGGCATCATGTAAGACCAGTCTCTGGCTACAGAGATGAAACTCTTGGCTGCCCGGCGTTGATGTCACAGCCGCCCGAGCTACCCTCAGCTGTGGATGGACTTCGAGAGACTTCCTTCAATGCCTAATGTTGGACAGGATGTTTCTGCATCTGCGGAAGCGGGGCATGGGCTAAGCTTCTGATGACCCATAGGTGTGCAGAATGTGCGGGCCTCAATAATTTCAACAGGTTTGGAGCGTATATTACAATTATCATAGAAGCAATAAGTATACCCAACTACGGTGCTACTATTAATTACTTCTTATTCCGACCCCTATACATTTTCAGGACGTCTCAGGCTTCTTTCTTCTCCCGAAAACCGTGGGTGAATGGCGCCGAGGAGCTTCTCGGTGCGGCGCTCGAAGTAACGGCAGTCGAGAAAGCCTGTCTTTCTGAGACCCTGAAGATGTAGGCTTAAGTAAACGATTCTAAGATGAGGTAGCAAGACTGAGCACTGAGTAACAATGATGGCGGAAGAAGTAACAGTGCCTACTTACCAGTATGGTGGGATTGAGGTCGTGGTGGCTGAAAGCCGAGGGTTGCTGGGCGTTGGTCGGCCGGAGGTCCCCACTCCAGACGGCGAACACGATTCGGGCAGCATGACGGGTCCACCGGGTGTCTTTTCGGCACACCGCGAGAGAGAGAGAGAGAGACAGACAGAGAGAGAGAGAGAGACAGCGAGAGAGAGAGAGAGAGAACACAGCATGAAACGGAGACGAAAACGGGTCGGAGGTCAGGTAGCCGCCCGCCTTGGTCCTTGCAGGCGGAGCACCGCGAGAAGGATGTGCGGGCCATAAAGCACCGTTGAAGCCTGCCATATCTAAAGAGTTGTAGATGTACTGCAGCAGTCAGAAGATTTCTCGGGGTATTTACTTTGATCCACAAAAAAGATAACCCATGTCTTCTTCATCTCCTTCTACATCCGTATGTGCGCATGCAGTCATGTAGTACGTACATGTACAAGCATGCTACTAAGCAAGCAATATGTGTAGACTAATGCACATACATGAAAAGCATAGTCGGTCAGCCAGCTTGTTTCCTAGTCGTAGGAAGACGACGGCAAAGAATCGCGGCTGAGGCAACCTAAGGACCACAGGCACCGTAGATGGAACTTGGCTGCTGGGACTTCCAGCATTGCCAGTGGACGTTGGTTGGAGAAACGGGCATGCAAGGAAAACAACGCGCAACACTGCTTTAAGACTGTCTGCCATTTATGCATACATGATAACTGAATACATGCACGCGTGCACGCTTGCATGGGCTCATGCGCGCAGGCATACAGACAGGCAGATGTCGCATCAACTAAACTAAACTGCAACAAGTGTGCATTAGCGGGGCCAACTCATGGGGCAGGTAGGTTCTCTACGCAAGTCACGCCGGCTCTATCTGGCGTGCGTTTAGTGCCATTTTGGCAATGATGCGTTTTTCAGGCATGTCCTGAGCACAAAATGGAGGCAAGGATATTTGATCTCCACACTTCAGGTTTGATTGAACCCCAAGCTTGCCACTTGGACTTGGCGCGGGCGCATGCACAGCACTGCGAGGGGCACAAAGCGCAAGCAGCTTCTACAAGCCAGAAACTGCTGAAGACTGGGTCCGCTCCATCTCAGCATCCGGGCCTTGCACGGTAGTCGAAGGAGGCGCAGTCGTGCGTTGTGAGACACCGAAGCGCACATTCTTCCTGCCAAGTTTTCCCTCAAGCTCCAGGCGCTGCCGTGCTGTCGAGATTTGCAGTGGCGGTGTGAGTGACAGCGGCACATCTCGATAGGCCACGCCAAGAAAGGTACAAGTAGGTCGCTTAGAGGGCATAGGACATGCCATTTTTCACACAAACAGGAAGCACCAGCTGGCTAGTTATCCCACCTGGCTCATGCAGTTGAAGGTCCGGTAGTTGTCGTTGTTCCTGGCGGAGAACAGGCAGACATGCTACTAAACATAAAAGCAACCATAATTTAGCAGTGCAATATGACACTACCATCAGTAAGTAGCAAAAAACTTCAAGAATGATGCGACCGAGACATCGTTATGACGATATAGCAGGATCTGTGATAGTACAGTAGGACCAGCAGGACTTTGCCTGCAGCCCAAACCTCCCACAATCTTCCGACTTCAGAATTGCTGCGAAAGCTGGTGGGCTTACAGGCTTTTAGGGTTATATGGCGAAGTGACGGCCCAAGGTGAAGTAGCCCAACTCCCGTTCCAAACCCACAACCCTAAACCCTAATCCCTACACCCACGGCTTGAGGTGAAGGAGGCCCAACTCCCATTCCAAAACCCAGGGGTCGCACTGGCTCCCTGGGCCGAGACCAAGGAGGCATGCCCAGAGTCTTACGTGCGAACAATGCTAATAAAAGGATCGTCATAATGATAGCAATGATGACGGAAGACTCATAACGATACTACTAACCATAATAATAACAGATGTTTCCGAAAGCAGCATCGTTGTCACGACTGTAGTACTCTGTTCGATCACTTCTACCCGGCCTGTGAAACGAGTTGTTGTTATAGGCGGTCCATTGTGCTCTTCAGGTGTTGCTGCTACCACTTTCTACTGGTCTTGCAGCATCACTCGCCTTAACGTTTTGGTTGCTCCAACTGTTGTGCTTGCTATGGTCATTGCTAGTATGCTTTCCAATCGCTGTGGTTTTTGCTGTTATCCCTATCGTTCCTTCTATTGCTACATGTGGGCAACACGGATACTGCCAACAGCTCCGTGCTCCGTCGCAGCATGCAAGCGGGCTTAAAGCTCTGCGCAGCCACAGTCCCGCACCGAGACAGATGCATAATCCTACTTACCGAAAACTTACGGAGCCTCTTATTTTAGGGTTGAGGGGTTTAGGGTTTAGGGTTCAGGCTTTAGGGTTTTTTGATCCCCCAAAAAAAGCCCCATAAACCCTATCTTGACCAAGCCCGACACCTACCCTCCCCTTGCCTGAGGCATCCTGCTGCCGCTTCGCCGAAGGCTGAAAGTGGGCTCCTCGCCACCTTCGTCGGGCGCAATGCTTTTGGGGTGTTGTGATTCAGAGCTTTAACGGCTCAGGGCAGGGTTTAGGGCCTAGGGGATTCAGGGCTTTAGGGTTAGGTCTAAGGGAGCTTGGACGTGGGCTTCAAGGTCCTTCGTGTATTGCTAGCAGCTTTCTGGCGTCTCTTACGGGTTCGGTCAACACTCGTCGGGTTCATCCGCGCCTCTGTGTCCCAGAGGGACACCTCCAAATCCATGGTGCCCCAGTTGGCAGAGTCCTGGCACAAAAACACACAACCTGCCCAGGCATTAAAAAGATGGCGGGCGTGGTACAGCTAGGCTTGTCCGAAACCCGACACACCGCATCGATTTCCAGTCCTCATCGAAAGCTCGATGATTCAGCTTGCCTCAGATAGGTTGAATGTGGCCAGGTTTACATCCTGAACACATCGTCCTTGAAACTGAAAGGCCGAACAAGCCGTCATGATTTTCGCGCATGTTTCGTTGCGAAGTTTTTTCTACCCTTGCTTACCATAGTTCAAACCGCCTCTGTGCGGAGAAGGATGCCGCTATGCAACTCACGGTCGCAACTTCTGAAAGAACAGTTTGCAAGACCCAACAGCTTTTGGTTACTCCGTCTTCCTGCCAAGCAGCATGTCAAGGATGCATAGCCCGAGGCTACGGGGTCGCAGGTGCTCCAAGGATTCGAGCCAAAACCTCAGAAAGTCGGAGGCTGTGCTAGGGCTAAGAGTGGGCTCAGCTGTACCTCTAGGTTCAGGCAGTACGGCAGCCTGGGGCTCAAAAGGTTGATCAACAGCTGTCCTCGGGCTAAGGACGAGGCGGACGAAATGCCTGGAGGGTGTCGCTGCGAAGCCCTTGCCAAAAATCGTGACCTGGCGAGCTCTAGAGTCGACATGGAGGGTAGGCAGCTCATCCCACGACGTCGAGAGGTCTCTGACGTCAAACCGAAGTCAGCTCCATAAGGTACAGAGCAAGAAACGGAAGCAAATCAAGCTGGTAATGTAGGGGCCTTAATAAATAGAATAGGGTTTTGGGGTATATTATACTATAATGTTAAGAAGGAACCCCCAAAATAGTATAGGTAATTATTTTTAGGCCCCTATATCATCAGGCTGCCCGGGCCTTTCCGCCGCCCTTAGAGATGGAATCTGGCGACACCGAGTCGATGGTCAGCAGCTGCCTTGTCTTCGGCAGGGCCGAAGCTGAAAATCGGGATCCTTCATCTACTTGGAGGATCATGGGACTTTAGTAAGTAAGGTTATAAGTCCCCTAATTGGGGTTATAAGTATACCTACCTTAGTTATAACCCTACTTACTAAGTCCCATGATCCTTTAAGTAGGGGCCTTTATAATGAGAATAGGGTTTGCATGGGGGGGTATATTATACTCTGGTTATGATAAGGAGTCCTCAAAACCCTATTCTGATTATTATGGTTTCGGGTCCCTGGAGCTCCCTGCACGGGTGCTCTGGCCGGAAGGGCTGCCGACAGCTGTTGACACGAAACCTGCGTTCTGTCCGGCGGGAGTCCGCTCTTGCACAAAGAAGACACAAACACCAGCTAGGAAACAACTCGGCAAAGTTCACGAAGCATGTAAATGTTAGAAGCCCCTTTGAACGAGGGCTCCTTGCAGACCGAAGTACTGCCATCCATGCGCCTAAACTCCATGCTCCAAGCTTTTCCAAAACAAATCTGAAGCCAGGCCCAAGCGGCGTGAACTCAGACAGGCTGTTCGGAAAGCGCGCGTAGCCGAGTGGGAGAAGCCTTACCTGGGGCCGGGCCGCTCTAATAGGGTTTAGGGTTTAATGTAGGGTCTACATGTAGGGGCCTGAATTGTTAGTAAACGCATGCTCTCGTGGTCCGCGTATTTTTGGGCAGGGTGTGGTATGGTGACATGAGGGGTATGATACTGCAGAAGGATTCTCCGGGTCTTCTAGTGGCTTTGTGGGCTTTGGGTTTTCGGGCTTCTTAGGCTTCAGGATTCCGGGTTTCCGGCCATTCCAGGGCTCTTCTGGGTCAGGTCTTACGAGGGTCCGGGGCGAACTCGGCTCCATCCCTAAACCGTTAAAACCCTAAACCCTAAACCCAAAACCCTAAACCCAAAACCCTAAACCGTAGACCCTAAGCCCCAAAACCCTAAACCCAAAACCATAGACCCTAAACCCAAAACCCCAAACCCAAAGCCCTAAACCCAAAACCCAAAACCCTAAACCCGGGCCTTTCAGAAACCACAGGGCCCTGGCCTTGATTGGCACGGTGGAGGCCTCGAACTCGGGGACGACGCACTGTACCTGGCGGAGTTCTGAGAAGTTTCGGGGAGGCAGGACTCCAAGGCGCCAGGGCTCTGACGAAGAGAGAGAGAGAGAGAGAGATATATATATATATATATTTTTATATATATATATATAATATCGTATATACTATATTATACAGTATATATTATATACTCTATACTATATGTTGTATATCCTATATTCTAACACTGCTGGAGTAGCCATGGACGGCTCAAAGCATGGCCAGGCTGTGGAGGGCACGACAATGATGGACCCGTCTTTGCTGGCCAGGCTGTGTGGGCAAGCCTGCCCGGGCAAGTCACTTCCAGACACTTGAAATGGAGACTTCGAGCCCACAACGTCTAATTAATAGTAATGTCATTTCACGTCTAATTAATAGTAATGTCATTTCAGTACTAGTAATGCAAATAAGTGTAGTCATAGGAGTAGTACGAATAGTAATAATAATAATGACAGTACTAATAATAACGTGAAAGCACATTGCAGGAGAAGTTTGCTGCCCTGGCATGCAAGTCCAAGAATTCCAAGGCACATGTGCTCCCAGGAACACGGAGATGTTGCCAGCACCTTTGGGCGGAAGGACCGACGCGTCGTCTTCATTCGTTCGTTCGTGAAATAGCAGTTGATTACTCCAAAACGACACTTGCAATCAACAAGAGCAAGACGGACAGTAAGAGACTCTGAGCAACAAACATGGCAGCAAGCTAACGAGAAGAGACAATTCAGTGACGATAGTCGAAGTCGTCGTAAACCGTAGCAGTCGTCGCCGCCGTCGTCGGTGGTTGCAGCAGCAGCAGTAGTCAGAGGAGTGGCAGCAGCATTAGCAGCAGCAGTGGCATTCGTAGCAGAAGTAGTGGTCGTCGTCGCAGTAGCAGCAGTAGCAGCAGCAGCAGCAGCAGCAGCAGCAGCAGCAGCAGCAGCAGCAGCAGCAGCAGTAGGAAGAGTAGCAAAGCAACAGAGTAGCAATACTAGCAGCAGCAACAGCAGCAGTAGGATTGGTAGTAGTGGCAGTAGTAGTAGCAGCAGTAGTAGCGGTAGTAATACCTGTAGTAGTAGTAGTAGTAGTAGTAGTAGTAGTAACTAGTGCAGGGGCAGCAGTCTCAGCAGCAATGTAGTAGTAGATGTTGCGCAACCACGGCAGCAGTCGCAGTCTTCCATAGCGTCGTTGGTATGCTGTGCTTCCACTCGTTCACGAGTGAGCCTGCGTACAACCATTCGAAGCACGTCTGATGAAGCTGTAGCTGCGACACTTGAGGACTTGGGCTTTGCGGGAAGGACTCGCTGAACCTGCAAGCGCTGGCATGATAGAAGGTGCACCAGACCAATTGTAGCCTGAGGATCCCGACTGAGTGGCTCCACGTAGCCATCCGGCATATTAATCGTGATGCTGATGTTGTCCTTGCAAAGGGTCCGGAGACTTCAGGCTGGTTTAAGCCGTCAGCCAAGTTCATGGACGCCAACTCGCAACAACAGCTTCGTAAAGCGGTTGCATGCCAAACCCGACCTCCCCGCCAGAACATATCTACTTATCGTTGCACGTATTGGTCTTTCAAGCCTATACTGATCCATTACGCCATGCTTCATGACATAGTATCTACAAACTGTATAAACAATTGACATAATCATTCAACATATGTACAAATGTAAATAACTATGCATATACATATATACATATATATATATATATACGGGTATATAAATGTATTGTTTCTTTAAAGAGGGCCTGCAAGGGCCCCAACCTTACTGACTCATCACGCTTCTATACGAACTGTTCATCGCTCCGCATCTAAGATGGATTCCAAACCCTTCCTGATCCCGGTGCCCCAAACCCTTGACAACAAAACCCTGAAGCCTCAAACCCATAAACCGATGCTTACCAGTCTGAAACTCAAGTATACGGCATGACGAACTCCGTGTTGGTATGTATCTAATTGCAGATTGGGAGATCTTGAAACCGAAAGGTAAAACAGTCCCAAGAACCAAGATGCCTTAGAACGATCCTTGCGGGTATCCTGGTTCTTGGCTCTCGCCGAATTTCAACAAACAGGCATTTAAGGGTATTGACAAGCAGGGAATCAAGAGGGAACAAAGAACCAAGAACTACCAGCACGATGCCTGGCAGCTTGTATCTGGCCACTAGGGTTTTGAGGCAGGGATTCGATTAATGATATTGGACTGCATTGCGAGCAGGTGCGGATCCATTCCGGGATATATTTTTATTTTTATGTATGTGTGTGTAAGGTTAAATGAAACTACCTACCTACCTACCTACCTACCTACCTACCTACCTACCTACCTACCTACCTACCCACCGACCCACCGACCCACC